ACTCCGCCGATGGCGCGCGTACTGAGCGCGCGCGCCGAAAACTTTCCCGCATTCTTCGCAGCGGAAAGGACCGTCGCCTAAATGAAGGCGTTGATGTTTAACCAACGCCGAGCCGTCACCAAAACTTTTCCGGCACAAAGTACATTTATACGGTCGTTGACCCGTATGGGTTCGTTGATGGCGATCGAAATGGAGGGTGCTACCGAAACTCCGCCCGCAATAAGTACAGATGTACGAACGACCGCCGGCGTGGGTACGTTGATGCCGGTAAAGGTGAGAACTTCGGCTAAAACGTTTCCCGCATTCGGGACACTGGTAGGGTTTTTCACCGGTATGGACGCGTTGATGGCGATCGAAATGAGAACTCCACGAAAAACTCTTCCCGCAATCGCCGCACTGGAAAGGTAACCTCCCGGTGTGTAACCGTTGATGCGTCACCAATTCTTTATTCCTCCGAAAACTCTTCCCACACTCTTCGCATTTATACGGCAAACCGCGAGGACGCGCCGACGCCGGCGTTTGACCGGTCGATCCGGCTCGTTCGGCGGCGTGAGCGCGTTGATGCCGGTAAAGATTCGAACTGACGTTAAAACTTTTCCCGCAGTGGAAGCAGACGAAAGGTTTTTCGCCGGTGTGGGTGCGCCGGTGTTTGCTAAAATGCGAGCTGCAGCTGAAAGTTTTGCCGCACTCGCCGCATTCGTAACTTTTTTGGAGGACGATGATGCTTTTAAAATTCGAAAAACCTCCACCCGGAACGTTTTTAGCGTTCCGTCGACCAACCGCCGCGCCGGGAGAATCGATTTGTTGCACCACCGTCCAACGGAGAGTTTCGTGAGCCGGGCTCCGCTCGCCCGGTGACGGTTCTTGGGGTTCACCCAACAAAGCCGACGGATCCAACTCAACGATTTCGGGGTCGCCCGATGCCGGGGGGTCCGTTTCGGGGTCGCTCGGTGTCCCTGGGAGAGCGGAAAAAGGGGGAAAATTGAGGTCGATCCCAACGTGGAGGGGCCAAGGGGGTGGAGACCCCCCCTCTTTGCATGGGGGGGGGGCGGG